ATAAACAAGACGCTCTGTTGAGCGTTTAGTCGCTGGGGTATTAAAATAAGGCACGTCTTGATTAGAATAACTTACCATATATCATCAACCTCGTACCCAGGGCTTCTGCGCTCGTTGCTCTCTCTTCATTCTCGTACCCAGAATCGTTCTTACGCGCGGTCAACAGAGTGCGACGAGGGGCTCTGGCCAAATCCAAACCGGAAAAACATGGTATTAGAACAATATCCGGTATTAGAACAATAACCTTCGTTGTGGCCAATCAGATGCCAGTTTGATGTGGATTTGGCCAGAGCCCTTCGTCGTGCTCCGTAAGAAAGGCTCTGGGGACGAGAATGTTCTCTTCTGAGAGCAATCTCGAAACCAGAGCCTGCAAGCCTCCACAGAAGATATGATAGCAATAAGTACAGAAACCCTGGGTACGGTGATTTCATTGGATTTATCTGGCTTAAGCCAACTTCGAGAACATTGGAAACCAGGATTCAGCAATTTTATTCAAATTTATTGCAACTCAACATTTTGACCCTTCAATTTTCTCAAAAAATGTAATACCCCCCCCCCCCCTATTATTATTATTCTTATTATTATTATTTATTATTATAACGAATATTTACAATATTTACACAGGCTGGATATATACATTTCAGCACAAAAGTGCTGTTATCAATGTGAGTCTTGTTACACCTTAAGAATTAATTAAAAACTATTAAACTACTACCTATAGTTAGGAAGTTAGCCTACTACATATTATAACTACTACTTTATCATTTATTTATACTCATGGCCCCACCTTTGCCCCCCCCCCTCCCTCTTCCATAAATAAAGACTTGTCCCAAACTCCAGGAAAAATCTGTGCACTTCACAAAACATTTATAACAATTTATTGCGTTCGCCTCAGGCTGGGTAACCACAACAGAAATTGCCAAAATGTCCTTTCAAGGTAGCTTGCATGTCAGGGAAGAAAATGGCTGCCCCCAAGCCATTTGCAAACAAATTCAATGTCTTTTCCAGAGAAATATGCCAAATCCCCCATGATGGAAAACGTCAAAATCCTCACCCCCAGCTAGGCTAAAAATATCGGCAATAGCTCCGCCCCTTGGATTAGGAAAAGCTGCAAAGGCCCGGGGGTGAGGGGATGGGAACTGCTGGAATTAACTGATACATTAGATTATCAAAGCTAATTTTAAAATATGACAATAACAGACAACTCTTCTGCCAATATCTTAAAAAGAAATATTCCAATAATTTTTCATTAATTAAACAGCCAGGAATTACATACCAAATAATAACAATGGTTAAAGACTGTGTTAATCAACAGCAAGTATGGAATATCATTATGTAAACAACAATTTGATATTACCTTAAAAAGAAAAGCTACTAATTCTGACCAATGGGAATTTTGTGTGTACTACGAATCATATGCATTTATTGTCTCCGTAGCAGGCTTTATTTTACCCTGTGAGCAAAGTCGTCTCATATTTCTTCTCGGCATGGCACGGAGAAGCGAGAGAGATTCTGCAAAACTTGTGTATATTCTTTGTGGAGCCAACAATCCAAAAACTTGGATAATTATGTATAATTTCAGGTTTGATACTGGTTTAATAACTGGTTTTGATGCCGGAAACAACGAAACCAGAAACTACTTATTAAATCTTCTTCTGGGAAATAGACAGTTGCTTAGCAACCTTCGCACATGCTCAAATGAATTTCTACCCAAGTTCTGCAGAGTCTCTCTCGCTTCTCCGTGCCGAGAAGAAATAGGAGAGGACTTTGCTCGCAGGGCAGCTTTATTTCAAGGATAGAGCCTGACACGCTGGATACTTTCAAAGTTAACCTATTTACTCTGCGTAACACTAGACAATTTTACTTGAGGACGCCATATTCAATATATTATTCTCACCAGGAAATTCCATTTTGTTTGCACCCCTTGCACTATTGTGTTTCATTATGGCATCTTCAACTTGAAAGAGTCTATTACTCTGGCCCCAACATTTACCCGTTAAAAACACAATATATGATGAAATAACTAAAATGTTACAGGTTTACACGCCTGACACCTGGTCCTTGTATTTCTGTCTTGTTAGGCTACATCATGTTCTTTTGACCGCTTATCCGTATCAGGATTGCTTGCATCAAGGGCCGTAGCGTAGAAAAAAGCATCCAAATAAACGGCAGTTTGCGAATATTATATAAATATTGTGAACTTTTGTCGTCTATTTCAAGCTTGTAGCGATCCAAGTTACTCACATAAAATGACTTTCGCTTTATAAAGTCTGGTTCATCGGAAAACTTTAAACTTTCATCGGAAAAATAAAAAAAATATGTACAAAATCGATGAAATTGTCGATACTAAATAACTAAATTCGCTCCGAAGAAAGCGGCCATCTTGAATCCAGCGACGAATAGTAATGACGTAATTTTTATTATTTATTAATGACGTAACGTTCATTTTGTAGCTAACGATCCAAGATCCGACACAAATCGAAGCCGAAACCTAGAGTCGCTGCGGGCTGTGCCCCAGCGACTAATAAAGTAGTTGATAATGTAATTGTAATTGGATAAAGTAATTGAAATTATACAGATGATACTGCACATGCAAAGATAATTAGATAATGCAATGTTCAGTACACTTTGTCATGTTGAAAATAAGTTAATTTATTTGAAACTATAATCTCACTCCTGACTGTCTTATCATTTTAGAGGCTGCAGTTGTAGCAAAATCTAACATCCTACTCGACGTAAAACCATGGGATGATGAAACAGGTAAAAATTAACATTCACAAATAATGGCATGAAGACATGGGAACCCCGAACTGTATAACTCCTAATATACTTTGGTAAAAATTTCCCTTTTAACCTAGAAATAACCCTAATTGGGTTAACTTAATATTCCTGGTTTAATCATATAGAAGGTCAAATATGATTGGCTAATGATGAGGGCATTTTGTCTTAATTAAGGGCAAATTAAACTACTTACAAGTACCTGATTGGCTGAGACACAAGCGCGGGAAGTTTCTGTTTTAATAAATACCGGAGCAATAAAAACAATGGCTTCTCGCTTTGTCGTTGGGGATAATGATGTTATTGAAGAATTAAAAACTTCTAGTGAAAACTTGAACACTAGAAAAAGTACAACTATATGGGTTGGAGTATTTACTGTAAGAAATGGGCAGCATGAAAGTAAGATCGACGAAGACATACGAGGTTCAAGAACTTGACAAGTTCACATTTTACTTACGAATAAATTTTGCCCTCTATGATTAACAAGTAATCGCATAGTTCCTCCTAAAATTAAGCTTTAATTTCACTTGTGTCTTCAAAGTTTGAAAACACGCGTGAAATTAAACATTAATTTTACTCGGCCCCATATGCGATTACCTATACAAATTTCCTGATTATTTGATCGCACTTCCTGCGATAGTGTATTAGCCTGGTTAATGTAGCCAGGAATCTGGTTAAATGTAACCGGGAATCTGGTCAAATGTAACCAGGAATCGGGTTATATTTGGCCATAACCTGCAATCATGCGGCTAGGCGGCCGTTTTTGCCGTGTACTTTTACATGCATTTTAATGCGCATCACCATTGACATTATTTTAGCAGACAAGTAGACTTTTTCCATGAGTCAATTTTAAGTATTTACAACCTCAATTTAAATACAATTCCTGATTTAATTGTTATCGGGTCATTTCAGGCTACCGTCATGGCTGCGGCCTAATTGCCAATTGGGCTTAGTATGATTGGCTGATTAAACAGGTCAGCCAGTCAATGAAACAAAAACACGGCCAGGCGTAATCTTGTACAATAAATATTCGGCTTACCTGTATGTTAAATGGGTTCTTGGTTGTACGTAGTTTGTAAAAGAAAGCCTGTTTTTTATCTTCTTAATTTCGATTTGTTGACACGGAAAATCTTTCCGCGAATACAATACTTTTTCCTATCTTCTTTTTCATGACGCTTTTCTGAGCCCTCGGGCTTACTGTTTCCAAGTACGTACTGCCTGTTTAATTTAACACCACTCGACTTACATCTAAGTCACACTTTGTTTTCCTTCTTCACAGATATGGTTGAAATGGAGCGGTTAGTTCGAACCATTCAGAAAGACGGTTTAGTATGGGGTGCCAGCAAACTCGTTCCGCTTGCATTTGGTATAAAAAAATTGCAAATTTCTTGTGTTGTCGAAGACGACAAAATTAGCACAGATGATCTTGAAGAAGAAATAGTAAAATTTGAGGACTTTGTACAGTCAATGGACATTGCTGCTTTTAACAAGGTCTAGGTGTGGGAGTATATGTAAGAATGGAGATGTGCGAGAGAATTTGAAATAAGAATAAATGTGAATTACTATATTTTGAACTTTGTCATGTATTATTTTAATTTGAACTCTAATGGTCGTTGAAGTAGTTTGATGCCTGGTTCACATCACAGAAGTGAGATAAGCATAAAGGCGGATTTCTAGTCCTCGCACGAAGCTCCTTGCAGCTCGCTGCGAGTGATGCATGAGCACTTTCATCCAATCACAACGCTAAACAGTTAATTTTAATTAGATGCAAGCACTCTGGGTGCCAGAGGTTTTTCACGCTCACAAAACAACAGTCAATTTTAGCATGCGTAAACTGGCGGTTTTAAGCGGTGCCCAATGATAATTGGGGGGAGGGGCACATATTCATATATTCGTGTTCACATACCATAAAAACAATTGATTTCAAAAGAAATTAATAAAGCAAAACACGAATATATGAATATGTGCCCCCCCCCCCCAATTATCGTTCTGGCTACGGCACTGGTTTTACGTATATAATACTTGGCACTACTGGCAAAAAATACCGGTACCTGAGATTGAGAAGTCCCTCGCGTAAAGACCCCAATTGCACGAGGGCATCCCTACTAAATATATGATATGGTTTAGCAGAATTCAAGATCAGTGATTTTATGACCAATTTTTTTAACATTTTTATTGTTAGCATCGTAAGGCTGAACTGTGCCTTTTAAGATGACAAAAATTTTTGTCAGTACCAAGACGGTTCAGACTAATACTAGAGAGGTTTAGCAAAGACGACGTGAAAATGGCGTCAAAATGGCGTGGGCACATCCATAGATAGGCATATCACGCCATTTTGACGCCATTTTCACGTCGTCTTTGACGTCGCGTCGTCTTTGCTAAACCTCGCTACTATCTATTCCACAACTGCTATTAGTGGGCAATTTCTTGAGAGTATGTTGAATATTTAATATGTTAAGTTTTCGACAATTATACGTCGAGGTTCCGTCGTTTACCTAATCGTTATGAGTGTCAATTTAATACTACGGTTACTACCATAGCTGTATTCACAAGAGAACAGATACTTTACGCGCTATATAGCTGCGTGTCTTTAACATCCTGTGCCACAGTTGGGCAGGAAACATCGCTGAAGATTGTTTTTGAAATATCAATACCATAAATGATTTTTCCATAACATGAAAAGGGAAATAGCGACAGATAAGCAAATAATAGAGAAGTTAAGATACCTCGGTTACGGGTATGGGTGCTATACACGTATCCGTCAATCGGGGAACGACTTGTCACTTAAGAAATCCAAGATATTCCGCCGTGAGAAAACCGTCAGAGAATGGTAACTTTCGCTGTTCAAGTTCGCCATAGATTGTTGAAAACTTGGACGAGGATATGTGCATTATTTATAGGGATGTGCCGGATACCGGTATCCGATATCCGGTAAAATTTAGACATCCGGCACTATCCGGTATCCGGTATAAATTTGCCGGATATTTACCGGATAGTACTGTAAGATATTTTGTTACAACCATGAAACGGAAAAATTTACTGGGCGTTTAAAAATTGTGAAACACGAACAATTACTGAGCGTGCGCTGCATTACGACGAAATTACGACATTTTTTTTCGTGATGGTGATGTGAACTGCTCTTTCGCCAACAGCAGTGAATTTTATATACTGAATACCATGCAGTAAACAATGTAAGGTGAATCATAAGATATGGCCTTGGTAAAGACAAATAGGTCAAAGAGACAAAAAATGTGTATTGAACACATTGGTACATTGGACTAGTTAATTAAGTTACAAAAATGTTGTGTTTCTAATAAATTATTGTATGGGAGTATCCGGTTATTATCCGGTATCCGGTCATCATTTTCTCCTGACCGGTATCCGGTAGACTACTATCCGGCAAAACAGTATCCGGCAAGACAGTATCCGGCACATCCCTAATTATTTATTTGGGTAAGATGTTGACGCTTTTTACTATTTAAACGACCAACAAATAGTAAACGGAAAACACCGTACCCGTTTGTCTTTTACGTGTAGACCATGGTTTACCGCGGGGAAACGGGTACTAAATTACGGGTAAAAATGATGACAGCAAAAATTGGTAAACAAAATGGCGATACTCGTACCCGTGAACCGGAACCGTGGTATCTTAACCTCTCTAATATCATTACAAGCGCGACGTTTGGGCTAGACCTCAGTAAAATATTTGCATAGAAAAGTTAGATTAATTTATAATTCAAGCTTAATTATTCGTATCTATAATATTTTTTATTAATAACATACACACATTTGTTAAAAATAAATGTATATTAATTAAAAAGTGGAGACTGTGTAAATTATATAAGTGCACTTTTTTACACCCATTTTCAAAATATCAGTTTAGTATTTTTGCACAAGTGAATATAACAAATCCTACAAGTTGATTGGTCAAGTTTGACGTATTAAGCTGTAACGTTTTATTTTTCACCTTGCTCGCTTACCTTTGTTCTTATTAGGAATCCTTATTAATTATAAACGACAAAAAGGTGCTGCTGAACTAACTTATAGGAGTTCAGAGTTTATCCTGATTCAAAAATGTCAGGACTTTATATCACTGAACGATATTATATAGGTTTTAACTAATCACAATATGGCATACATGTAACATGTGATTCGAATCGTGCATTTTGCCCAACCTTGTGTTTATTAATAATCAGAACCACGTTAAGCTTTACTTGGATTGACTTTGAGTTTGTTAAAAGCAAGAATAACCAAGATCAACTCAAGGATCTGTGATCCTGATAGAATAATTGCTAAAAATATTTGATGTGTAAATAGACTGCTACCAATTAAGCTCCCTGTTAGTAAAGCCAGTCTACTCAATACACTCAGTATGGCTTGCACCAGGCCTTGATTGTCTGGATTAGTGTGCTTCGAAACTGAAGAACGACCAACTGCATTAATAACCGTCATTGCTATGCCATCCAAGGCAACTGTTAGTAACGAGCTATAATAAGCTCCGCTAGACATCGGGGAAGAGGATGCAAGCAGAATAACACCAACAGATGCAAGGCTACCAAATATAGCTGAAATCAACAGGAGGAGTCGATCTGGAACTTTCCGTGACAAAATGAAGAGAATAATTGCAAGAATGACATTTTCTACACCCCACATGGTAAACAGAAAACTGACGTTGTTTTCACTCCAGTGTAACATGCGCTCAGCAACCAGAGGGATGATGGCCTGAAGAGATGAATGGAGGATAAAAATGAAAAATATTGAGTATACCACTGCAACCACGTGTAATTTGGCAAACATATCTATTACAGTATCTTGGAACGAAACGCTGCTGGATTTCCTTGCGTCGTCGGGGATTACACTGTTGTCATCTTTTTCTATTTCCTCGGTTTCGGTGACGTCGTCATTTATGAACGGAGATGTTGTGATATCATCGTGATTGTCCCCTGGGCTTTCCATGTTATACGCTTCTCGGAGTTGCTCTTTTTTCGAAAACTGTTCTTCACTTAGACCGTCTGAAACTGGTTCATACCCTTCCTCTTTTCTCATCTCGTCTGAGAGATCATAGACAAACACATACATGATACCAGTGACAAGTATCCACATAAGAGACATGAAAAATCCCGGCGATGTGCGGAAATCAATGTGCCAGTTACCGATGTAGAAATCAAACTCTTTTAGAAAGATATTTAGTGCTGGTCCTAAGGCAAGTCCCAAAACGAAGCTTACTTTAAGTAATACAAAGTACCGAGTACGTTCTTCTCCAGTTGTGATTCTGGCTAATTCTGCCCAAATAGCTGACACATACCCTTCTCCAAAGCCTGCTACCATGCGTCCTAGCAAGGGCAAGGACATATTGAAATGAAGTGAGTATATTGCATTGCCAACGACCTGGAAAATAATTTAGTGTGCTAAGTTGACAATCTATGGGCGGGGGAGGGAGGCTGCGATGTTGGGTTGCTCTCATTTATGACCGCCTTTAGTTGCTATAAATCTCAGTTCTTTAATTTGAACATTTTGTCTGAAAATCCATGATATATACTTAATTTAGAGCTTACGAATGCTTTTCCATGGTTAACAAAATTGTTTCACTTTTGTCAGAAATTCTTGGGGGTGGGGGATAGTTGCTCTCCTATTGCGTCTGTTATCTCTCTCGCTCTTCAGTGCCCAATGCCTGCGCGCAGACGCGCAGGCTACAGTGCCCAGGGCCTTTTTTTTAAAATTCCCCCGTGCGGGGGGGGGGGGCATCTACAAAAAGGGACCATATTATACTAAGTGTAGAGAGATGACAGACGGTTGTTGGTGACAAAAAGTTTGATAAGATGTCGTATGTAATAATATTAGGGAGGTCTGGGGGAGAATAATTTTTGTATTTTTCACCCCTAGGACTGCATTTCTGATTTTTGGCTATTCAGCGTTATATAAAACTGCAGATAGACTGAATTTTCAGTTGTGTACTTGCATGGTATATTTATGTAAATACCATAACTCAGTCAATAACTTGTTTAGCCTATAGCCTTCCAACAACTCAAATCTATAAGGTCTGGGATACGCTATCCACTTTGAAATTTTAAAATCCGATTTTTAAAAAGACATTGGATTATTTAAAGATAAAGGACATGACATAAGATTCACAAAGCAAATTTCAGTTACTAGAATATCAAATATCCCTTATAAATTTACTGTTTCTTCCTTGTTTGCTTATATCTTAGAGAAACAGGACTGGTGGCAAAATAGTTGAGTGGGGGTGGCACCATGGGGGCTGGAGGGACTCCCCCCGTTATATACTGTAGATAAAATAGGTTCTGTCAGTTCCTTTTTTCACCCCGCTCCCAAGTTGCCTACGTTCTAATCTTCTCAATCGAAAAGGCGCTGGAATATAAATAGAAGGCTTCGATCTCCATGTTATTGTTACGGTAGAAGTCCAATTGGATCAAATTTGAACTGGATTTGAAAATTTCAGCGCAATATATACAGTAATACTATTTACCTCTGCCAGATTCCAAATAAATCCGGACAATCGAAGATTCATATTTCTGTCTGCGAGATAACCAACCAAGATGCTGGAGACAATGCCAACTGTGTTATAAGCAGATAATACCAGACCATAATACCAATAATCGACGTGAAATATTTGTAAATATAGCCACGCAGAGGGAAATATCACTCCCTCCTCTGCTCCCATGAGGAACATTCGCACAGAAAATGCGAACACTGTTAAACTTCGCTTTTGTGAAAATGTTAGATTCTTCATGTTTTACTCTGATTATCTTGCAATGAAAATGAAGAAAAACACTTGTTATTTGGAATGCATTATCTAGTGTGAATTTACTGGTTTTATGTACTAGTTAAAACACGAGCAGCCGTACTTTATCTGACATGCATACTCGAGCCGAAGGCGAGAGTTTGTATATCAGTTAAAGATCGGCTGCGAATGTTTTAATGCGCTTAAAAAACGACCCATCTTATGAGTTCATTGGCGAAGTAATTTTAAAAATAAACAATGTCTAAGCCGAGAAAATCAAAGCTGAAGTTTATGTATATCAGGACAAATCTTTATCCGATTTACAAACATTGGTTAAACACATTCATTTCTTTTGTATTTTCCTTATGAATTATTAATTAATGAGTTTTTAATGTCTATTGGAATGTTAATTATGGTGTGGAATATACCTGTGTTTACGTTGTTCGTGTGTTTACGTACGTCATTAGCATGCTTTTGAATTGTTACTCCTGTATCAGAAAGTGTGTTATGGTTTTGTTTTATCACTGTTTTATCACACTAACTCAATTAATACTGTCGTTTTCAGCATTTGATCATTTTTACCTAGCACGTCACTGGATTAAAAACCAAGGCAAATATCGAAAAAGTCTGAAATAACTTACATTAGAAATTTTAGAGTTCATTAATTTTAAGAAAAAAATTAACTTTTCCGATATCGTTTAGTACTCTTTAACTTGATACGCAACTTGCTCTCCTCCACGCCCCTCCGCCAGAGCATTAAATTAGCTACAAGCATTGCATCACCTGGCCACAACAATAGAACACACAATATATACGTACCCACAGCCGTATCTGATCTAATTGTGTGCCACCCCAGACAACACAACATTGGGTTAACACAAAAAAATAATGAAACAGTAGGAAACCATGTAAAATCGGGACATTTGACACCCTCTAAGTCCCCTAGGGCATTTCCGATTGTACATGTGTTAAAACCAGATAGAACAATTCGATTGTGTGTAGACTACAGACGACTTAACAAAATTACCCAGAATGACCTAATTTATATCCAACTGGCAATGTGCAAGAGGTTCTAGACAATCTATCTGCAGGTGCTAACTATTTTAGTGTTATTGACTTGGTCAGGGACGTCGCGAAGGATTCGACGGGGAGGGGGGAGAAAAGTGTCTTAAAATAATTTTCCCAGACTAACATTACCAGAGCTTAAAATTTTTTCCGGATAAACATAACCAAATATTTACTTTTACCAAATTTTAACACCTTTTATCTCAAACGTGAACAAAATTTTACCAAGTTTATTCTCAACCTTTGACAAGCTGTTGTCAAGTCGGACCTGCAACTTTGACCAACTTTAATAATTAACCAAATATTTTCCATTCAGTTAACCAACTTTTGAATTATTGGGGGGGGGGGTGTTACACCCCACACACCCCCACCTCCAGTAGCGACGTCCCTGGACTTCGTTCAAGGTTATTTGCAGGTCCCACTGACCATGGCGATCGACCAAAGACAGCGTTTTGATCACTTGCTTGGTTTTGGGAATGGACAAGAATGCCATATGGTTTAAAAAGAAATCCGACAACCTTTTCTCGATTGATGGAGAAGGTTCTACGACACATTCCACCATATCGATTCGCATTGTACATGGATGATATCTGTATTATTAGCAAAACGTTTAAGGAACATTTGGTTAATTTCCAGGGAGTATTTGATGCATTTCGACATCATGGTTTATAAATTAAAGCTAAGAAATGTGCTTTCGCAATTGAAAGAAGTGAAATTTCTTGGACACAAAGTTTTCAACAAGGGTGTGCAGCCAGAAGAACATAAAGTTAAAGCAATTGGTGCATGGGTTGCACCAACTTGTCTTAAAAAGGTGCAAATGTTTTTGGGTGCAGTTGGATGGTATCGGAAGTTTATCAAGGATTTTAATACAATTGCTCGACCATTAACCTAACATGGCTTTTGGAGAAAGATGTGACATTCACTTGGGGCAAGGAGCAAGATGATGCATTCTATACACAAAGACACGAGTTGGTTAGAGCTCCAGTATTAGCCTATCCTGACCACACTCGACCATTTATTTGGTGTTACCATGGATGTAGGTAAAGTGGGTCTGGGTGGTGAGCTATCACAAGAAGATGCACAAGGACAATTACTCCCGGTTGCATATTTCAGTCGTGCACTGGCCAAACGACAACGTTCATATTCAACTTACGACAGAGAAGTGATGGCTATGCGGGATACGCTTAAGAATTTTCGGTTTTATCTGCTAGGAGCACAAGTAGAGATGAGGATCTACCACAAACCTCTTCTAAAGATCCTGGAGCAGAAACATCCTTTTGGACGAAGAGCACTTATTCATGAGAAACATAGCAGAATTTGAACCACGCATAGAGTTTATTCGAGGGCAGGATAATCACATGGCAGATGCTCTTAGTCGGAACGGATGGAATGTCAAGTAGGAAGAGAGAGAGAAAGAGAGAGATGAGTATACTAGTAAAGTGGCTGCTATCGGTGGTTCCCAAGAAGAAAGTGGTCCATGCAAGGATGTAATTAAGGTTGGACATAAAAGATTTCCAATTGCAGCAAGACCGCGACCGAACAGCCACATATTTCCACTCACCAAAACGAACATGGTTTATTCACACGAGACCATAAGAAGCAAGTGTTACTTCCAGCATCGCTTGTTCCCACCATATTATCATTAGCTCATGACGAAACAGGGTACCAAGGAGCAGATAAAATACTTTCAAGAATTGAACCTCGTTACTGCTGGCCAAAGACGAAAGCAGAAGTAGAGAACTATGCAAAAACGTGCAAACGCTGTGCTGCTACTCTTGCCCAGGGAGACCGAAATGCACCCATTCATCAACGACCAAGAGAAGAGATACCATTTGCATTGATAGAAGTAGATCTCAAAGGCCATTACCGAGAATAAAAGAGGGATTTGACAATATTGTTGTGATAACAGTTCCATGTACAAAATATGCAGATGCATCCAATCGAGGACAAACTAGCCAAGTTGTTTGTAAAACAATCATGTGTTGAATATCAAGATATGGTTTACCAAACAAAGTGCACTCCGACAATGGGCCTTGCTTCATAAGCGAAACATTTGAATAGTTTTGCATAACGCAAGGCATTGCGCATACCTTCAGTCCAGAATATAGGCCACAAGGAAACGCGGGTGTAGAACGGATTAATCGTACGATGGGAGAAGCACTCACAAAATTGGTAGAGAACCGATGGTCCTAACACGTACCGGACGTACAACTAGCATACAACACAGCAGTTCATAATACAAGTACGGGGGTTTCGCCTTACGAGTTGGTTTTCAAAGAAACACCCGCGATCAAAATTCGAAATTATAACAGAGAATATATCACCGGCAACGGTTAGAGAGAAAACAGAACGACTGCGCGAGACTGTTAGTAGTAGTCCAAACAGCACAGGAGTCAGATGCCAAGTTAGCGGAAAACCGCAGAGAACGGTACAACATAAAAACTTCCTTTAAATTGTTGGGGTTGGTCAACAAGTTTGGAAAATAAATTTACGGGCAAAAACATTTTCAGATCAGTAGACGGGACCTTATGTCGTGGTAAAGCCCACGTCGGAAACAAAAGCATTTTATGTGGTGAGAAGGAATAATGGAACTAAAGAAGAAATTGTCTACTACAATTACCTAGTCAGATTCAACCTGACAAGAAACCAACGTCAAGGAACCCACCAAAGAAGAATGGGGTCGGACACCCAGTACTGGATACCAATGAGGACAGTGAATCTGACAGCAGGGAAGAGCTAGAAATGTAACCAGAGAGAAGATTTCCAGAAAGAATTCGAAGACCTCCAGAAAGATACACATAAAACTTTTTAAGGGGAGAGTGGTGTGATATATTGAGTTTTTAGCATGGGCGTACCGGAAGGAAAAATTTAGGGGGGCGGAAAGAAATTTGCCCGACTTTTCCGGATTTTGCCCGACAAGTACCGAAAATTTTTTTTCCGGAATTCATTCTGTCGACCGCCCCCCCCCCCGTCGCCAAAAAAATTTCGGTCACTGTACCATTTTAGGGGTCAAAAAATTTTTCCGGACATACCGAAATTTTCTGGAAACTAACAAATATTTTCCAAACATCACAAAATTTAACAAAAAATTTACAGAATTTGTCCCATTTTTTTTTAATAAATCAAAATTGTCCGACTGTTCAGCGAATATTGCCCGACTGCCCAACAAACTGGGGGGGCTGCCGCCCCCCCCCCCCCCCCTATGGTTTTTAGGCACAGTGACATATAGATGCTCGTAAATAGCAAGCCTGCTTGCAGGCTATTAGGCATGGACATTTGGGCATAATTATTAACTATCGAGACTAAGGTTCACATCGTACAATAAATTAAATTAAGAGACTAAGGTTGTTGTTGTAGATGTGTTCGGGTTAATATAAAATACAAAAAGAATCGGATTGGATTAGAGTTGCTGAATGAGATAATTTGAATTCGCTGCGAGCTTCAATTCTCGGAGAAAGACTGCATAAACTTTGTGACGACTAAGCGAATGCTTGAGTTGTTTACTACGAAAAAGATCAGGTTAACCCCCCCCCCCCCCAACTTTTTTCGAATCAACATATTCGGAAAATCGGGTTGGCCATTCGGAAAATTACGGCAATAATAGTAGAACAAAATTTTAGATGTTAAACAGAGAAAATATTATAAAATTTTATTGTCAGTATAAACTGATTTACGAAATTATGGCATTTACATGGATAACACTGTTTAACAAATCGTAAATCGGTGAATGGTTTTCGGTTTATTACTTCTCAGGGCCGTAGCAACGGGGGGGGAGAGGGCGGGGGGGGGGCTTCAGCCCTCCCAATAACTAGGTAATAATCATTCGCCCATTTAGTACTACTAAATTGTAAGCAAATTGTGAATTTCGACGTACTAAAACGCTTTTTTCTGACCACCAGAATTCTGTCAAAACGTCCCCAAAGTCCAGGAAATGGCATTTCAGCGAGACTCTTTCAGCCCCCCTCCCCCCAATAAACAAGAGCTTCCTACGGCAATGCTTCTGTAATATGTTTGTGCGTAAAGTATGCGTATTTTTGTTTGTAAATTGCGTCTTCATTTTCCTTTTTTCATCATTCGGAAATGTTTCCCCCCCCCCAACTATACATGCTAGCTACGGCCCTGAAAAAGATGTACGATTGCGAGAAGGTCAAAGAGAATTAAAAACTATATCGATTGATGAAACGTCATTTTAAAGTTTCATTGATATTGGGGCAGAGATTTTGTCATGCGGTAGCAGTATATACAGTTTTAAAAAAACTCATTAATAATTCATGAGGAAGAGACAAAGAAAATCACTACCTTGTCGGTGATTCTATATGTGATAAAAAATCATGTTCATTTACATAAACTTTAGCTTTGATTTTTTTTGCTTAGAAAACTTTATTTTTAAAATTACTTCGCCAATGAACTCTTTACATGGGTCGTTTTTAAGCCATTTTCGTGTTTTATATCTGATAAAGCTAGCACTTCTGCTCGCGTGTTATAAATAGTACATAACGTACACTACTCACTAGTCACCGCATTAGCTATATGAATAAAACTGATCATGAACAATGTCAATAACTAAAAAGAATAACTTTTGTTTTATTTGAGATAGAATAAAAAAATCAGCTACCGTTGTCGATGGAGGCTTATTATTTAGCATTCATTAATTTTGCATTTTCGCATTGCTCGTAGACGTATGCAATTGGCTTTTTGCTCGTAGACGTAAGCAATAGGCTTTCATCCGCTATATTTTGACCATATTCACTCATATTGTCGCGATTTTTTATGCTTCTGGATGGTGAATCCAGTCGCTGTGGCTCATTGATTTATCGCCCTGACTATATGACTATGACCACAGTTGAGTGCATCGCAATAGCTTCTTTTCAGACAACCTATTTACTGTAAATAACGAATTTGGAATAAAAATTGTACCATGTTGAAACAAGACTTAGTGCATCACAAACGAAATTAGATTGTCTATTGCATATACCATTCTCTTGACTCTCGCTGCATGCATGGCAAAGGTTTGTCGTCACGCGTCAACAGTATTTGTATATTTTGGATTACCGGAGTGACTCGAAAATATAACCGTAAAATCTTCCTTTGCAAAGTATGCTGAACATTGGATCTCATATTGTTCGTTTAAGGCACACGAAGTCAACCCACTGTTTGACTCTCCATTTCGTCTCCGGCATCTCGTTTCCAGCAAAAGGTATAACATGAAGTGAAATGCCTTTCTTTGCATCTGTGAGACTGTGACACAAGAGCAACAGTCTACTACACATCTATTCGGCAATTTTTCAGTTTCGTGACTTTTATTTGCGCTATTGCCTTCTCTATGATGGTACATGCAATAGTATTTTTATATCATAGTGAGCTAGACGAGTTCCTAGGAAAGGCGATCGCGATGAAAATATTTTACTGCCGCTTCCGTGGTAATGACATTATTAATAAGTGAAATTAAGGCAGCGTTTACACTGTACCGTTTTCGTAGCGTTCTCGTATTGTTCTTAATCCTCAAGGGAACGCAAGATAATAGTCTAGTTCTCTCGAACAATACGAGAACGCTACGAAAACGGTACAGTGTAAACGCTGCCTTCATAAACAGTAGCTAGTAACTACTCACCTATCACAGAAATGACTGGAATGTTTCGTTAGCCTCTGCTTATTTAAACCTGTGGCCTTTTTTGTTTCACATAAATGTACAATATGAAAAGTATAACATGCGTACTCTAGAAAGAATATGTTCACTGTCTATAATGACTCACGATCAAAACAATCGTATCTCAGCATGAGTATTAAATTATGTAAAGTCAAGTATGCAATCACTATAATAATTGTAAGGAACAAAGATATGTTTTCACAGGACTTAGATCTTTAAAATGTTTATATCCAACGAAATTCACCATTTTTTATGATTGCATTGTAAATATCGATATCGTGCATATGTGTTACATGTCGAATACGTATGTCTCACATATATGTTAGCCAGCCTGTTTCATTGCCGACGAATTCATCAGTGTTTCATGATTAACGTCAGCGATCATGCATGATTACCCAGAAATAAAAACCACTGGATCAGAAAGACTTCGTCTCAATTAAATTCGACGATAGCGCGACGTAGGAAACAGGCCATAAATGTTAAATCATATGTTACATGTGGACAAATTTGTTTAGATAGTTTGGCAAAGTGTCTCTTACTAGTCATTTTGAATTTTTTTACAGTGCAATCATAAACTGAAACAGGGCGTTTATAAGATAGGGCGGCGAAACGAGCATAGGAGCCCTGATATGTCTGTGATGCAAGGGACCCCCCAAATATTCGAACACATGCGAGTAAAAATGGCGGAAGCTCAAGCTGAAATGGAAGAGGAAGATTTTGATTTAATTCTTAGTTTAGACGATGCCGAAAAGGATGATAAAATATCCCCTGTTATTCGACAGTCGACTGATGCTTTCACTATCAATGAAGTGATCGCAGTTCTCGAGAGGATTTCTTCCAGCACGATAAAATCCGAAGCTGAAATAGCCACAACAATATTGCGAAACACGCGCGGGAAAAAAAGATTTTGCCACCTTGGATTGCTTTGTGTCTGTATTTGTCGAGGCTTTTAATAAGTGCAATGGTTCGGTGAAGAAGTTTAAAAGAGACAGCGTACGGGCTATTAGGTTGGAGGAAAAGTTTGCCACTCTGAGAAATGGGCTATTCCAATTATTATCCGCACCCCCCCTGTTGAGGAACCCCTTTCTTATGTCGGTACTCCCCTGGAATTCCGCAAATTTTCATGTAAAATTTACCCCTTCCCATGGAAATTCCTTGTAAAAATTACCCTTCCCCATGGAATTTCCATTCTAAATTAGGCCTTCCCCATGGAATTTCCATTTAAATTTGGCCCTGTCCATGGAATTTCTATGTGTAAATTACCCCTCCCCATGGAATTTCCATCATGGGACATCTACTCCCGGAAATTTCCCTCTAACATATGTCCTCCCATGGAATTTCATCCCATCAAATTTACCCCTCCCTTTGGAAATTCCATGTGAGAATTACTCCTCCCCTTGGAAATCCAGAGCCTGAATGCCCCCTTCCCTGGAAATTCCAGGGTTAATGCATTCCCTCCCCTGGAAATTCCAGGGTTAATGTATTCCCTCCCCTGGAAATTTAAAGTTAATGCACCTCTCCCCTGGAAATTCCAAGGTTAATACACCCCCTCCCCTGGAAATTCCAAGGTTAATACACCCCCTCCCCTGGAAATTCCAAGGTTCCTCAACAGGGGGGGTGCGGATAATAATTGGAATAGCCCAATTCTGAGGTTCACTTTTAGCAAAGATGTTTAGATAGTGAGATGAAAAATTGATGACGTCAAAATATAAACTCGGATCGGAGAATAATTTTAAAATTACTTCTACAAGTACCATAATATTTTACAGTATTTTAATGGAATATGTATCATTATTGGGCATTCCCGTTTTGTCCCTAAATGATGGTACGTCAATGAGTACTACTGGACGCTACACTTGAAAGTTGAAACACTTCACAGACGGCAGACGCGACTCGACTCTTCTATCGGCCAAATATAATATAAAATTTTAGCAATAAATTTTAATATTAAAGTTAAAGTTTATATCGGCTACCTTTCCGCACATATATAGTCGTACCTTATACTTTTATGGAAACATCAAATAGCATTCCACTGGTGCTTTAAAGACCCTCAAATCTGGAATTCTATCGACAGGATTTGTACGTATCTACCTCAAGTTGTATGAACAAATATCTGACAAATATGCCAACGTTTTGTGACGTTTAATCACTAATATACGCATTTCAGTTTCACTTTCAGTGTGTGTTTCCACGTGTCAAGAAATTTCACGGAGAAAAGCTCTGGGAAAAAAGTAACCAACCTCGTAACAAAGTAACCTGAAATTCAGGCCCTAATATATTAAATAGGGCCTATTTATATCTAACAAAATACAATACAATGGAAACTCCGAAGAAGTTCATATTTTTATTAAAATTCAACGTTTCGACTACTGTTATCTAATATTCAACGTTTCGTCGTTTCGACTACTGGGGCCGGTTGTATAAAAAAGTGATTAAAGTTAACTATAGTTGGTGGAAACGTCATCCAATAAGAAGCGCGTATTTGAGAGTTAATCACTATTTAACTACAAAATAGTGATTAAAAAAGTGATTAAGAGTTTTATACAACCCTATAATTTTCTATAATTACATCACAACCACCATAAATGGAAAGGATTTCAAGTTTTTTTCTCATGGGCTATGCACAGAGAAGCAGAACACCCTTCTTCAACACATGCGCGAAAAAAATTTTAGATTTTGATCAGTAAATATGGAAATAAGCATTGACATGTAGCACGAAAACGAGGCTCCAGGTCATGACCTGGAGCCTCGTTTTTCGTGTTAAAAAGCTTTAAGCTTTCACATTTATTGGTCAAAATGAAGAATTCTTTGTCATGCATGTTCATGAAGGATGTTCTGCTTCTCTGTGCATGACGTAATTATCGAAAGGGCGTATTATGAAAGCTACAAAATTAAAGTAAGTAAAATTTTTAGTAGCTTTCATAATTCCTGATGATGACTCAACAGTAGTCGAAACGTTGAATTAAAAATATGTATTTTTTCGGAGTTTCCATTGTATAGGAAAAAAGCTAAGAAAAGAAAGAAAAGTAAGAGAGGAAAGGAAAATGGTTTTTGAAAAAAGGAAGTTTTGTTCCCTTTCAATTGAACCGGAAGTGTTTAGTTAAAAATTAACCAAATTAAGACGAATGATCTATATGTAAAACTCAAAATTTGGTTCACAAATCTTGAAATCTCAAATCTGCCACATAAGATCGCTTTGATAACGAAATGACTTTGCTAAGGAAAGAGTAAATAGAACGGATTTGTGCAGCTAAACAAACATATTTAATACTCAACTCACGATATTTGAAAAGGTCACGAAATGGAAGCCGAAGCCATTGAATACGAAGAAGACTTACATCAAGATGCCGATGCAGTTGATGTCAGAAAGATCATTTGTGAAGATCAAGATAGACCTGTGTTTACAGCTGGCTTCGCAATAACATTAAGCTGTGTTGTATATTTAAAGAAAGCTGTAGGAAATCCACAAATACACTTAGAAGTCAAGGGAAAAGTGCGTGTACAATATGAAGGTCGAATTCTTGACGATTCATCGCATTCAACTAGCGGCCTTCGAAAGTCGAAACGTCGTAAAGTAAGAGAGAAAATGATTTTTATCCTGCCTGTTGTTTTATCCCCAGGTTAGTATGCTCTTTACATTTGTGTTTTTATCGGTTTGATATAGCTGTTTATATAATGAACTGTTTAATTTAAACTATAAAATAACTTCATACACAGTGGCTAAAATTATTTATATTAGCAATCATTATTTGTTTTCCTTTTTTCTTCATATTAAATTAAATCAACAAAGGTTTTCAGTCATGCTTGCTGTGCTAGTTTCTGCTATTTTTACTCCAGTGAGTGTCGTGCATTTTGTGTTTTGTGTTCCAGCCTTCAAGCTGATTAGAATTACTGGCGGGGGCGTTTGGTGCGTGGCGTTTTTAACTGATAATTTGTTACTTTATGTAGAATTTGATACATTGGTTTGGACGAATTCGGCGCCCGTTCATGTTTATTCGACTTGAACTTGCACTAAGAATTCTTGTCATGTTGGTGGGTTAAGAAACAGGATGTGTGTCACACTCAGACAAATATTTGGCATTTTTGCGTGTCATATCCTAATTATCTACTTGATCTCTGTTACGTGGGTGACATTTTAATATACCTAAAATGAAAAATCATAATCAGATTAATACCAGATTCACAGCCCACAAATACAGGGACATAGCAATACAAGGTGTCATAATTACAATTTTTCAAATTTCAGAATAGCAGTATTTTTTCTCACTAGTTTGGAATTTTATATAAATATAATTACACATATCCAAGAAGTTCTAGAGGAGCTCCCGGCCTCAAATTCCCCTGATGAAATATATCCTATGATGTTTAAGTTTAGCACCTGCAGTCTACAGATCATGCATTGCACCCCCACTTAGGACAGTACAATAACCAGCTAGACCTGTATGGAAACAATGAAAAGACAATCCACTCCTGTTGGTTCCTACAACAGGTCAAAAATAGGACAACTGCACCTCTCTATAGGAGCACACAACAGTGCTTAGTTATATGTACTGTACTGTTAAACAATGGCTCTGTCCTTGACAAAGATCTCTGAAGGGTAAAACAGACTTTGATTATACTGTATGAGTGAAAATTGAACAGACTAACTGAACAGTAAAAAGTTTAACACTCACTGATGAACATGAGAGATTCTATGAAAAAATTGTATATTGTCTGTATTATACACAAAATTATTGGGCATCCCAATTCATGGCTCTCTTTAATTCCAAGGAATAGTATTGCTTGGTTCAATGTTAAATCCATTTCTATCAACATTCCAGCCTAATAACTACTATATGTCCTCCACTGCCACTACTGCTACCTTTCACACATCTGATTGGTTAATCAGGAAGATTAAGCACATCTGATAAAATTGGTTAATGCTCTTTCGACAGTAACGTTACTACTTTTCATTCAGATGCTGGTATATCGACTATATTATGGATGTTTGGTTTTGATGTCCGCCCATCTGCACTGAACCTAATATAAAATATTGGCCAAAAGTTCATAGAACAACTGAACGTTTGCACTAGTTTTGCCCTAAATTTATTTTGTTATATTTTATAAGTGTGGAAACTCTCCCCGCATCCCCTGTTCAATGTTGTTTCAGTTACAGTATTGTTGTGCCAGATCTCCAGCTATAGTTACGTGAAACAACATTGAATGGGGGGAGGATGGATGATGTGATATATAAGGTTTTTGGCCAAGATTGTAGCTATTAATCTGATTTCCAATCATATCAGGATACAATGCAATAAACAGTATTTTAGACAAACATGATAAATTTCGTTCAAGGCTTTCGTAGAAAGCTTCGGATTGATAGGGATGCAACTACCTGAAAATACAAGAAGAACTTCAACGTTTCCCTTTGACTTACAGAATTTTCAATCTTGTGGTCTTTGGTTAATTGACATTTGCTACTACTACTGGTAAATAAAAAAAGCCTTCTGTTGTTCTCGCCTATTATTATATCCGTATGTCACAGAAATATTGGTATCGATGTCGAAGAAAAGCAAATATATCAAACCAGTATCGCATCAAATTTAAAAAGTGGATATCGCCCATCCAATGTAGTAGAATCTAAATCAAATGTGCTATTTCTATAATCCCAGTGACTGAGTGACCTACTGCCTACTGCTCTATAGACTGAGCATCTTTTTTTGTTATGATTTAGATATAAAATGCAGTTTCGGAAATTTGCGGGCAGATGAGGGTTTTCATCACACACACTTCATCACACTTTTTGATCACACTTTTCCAGTGAAGTTCTTAACAGTGTTGTAGTTTTGTACCAAATTGTTCAAATTTCCTGGTTAGATATTGATTTTAAATTGCTGCAGACAAAAGGATTAAAATGTTTGAATATTCATGTATTTTTTAGCATTCCTAGAAGCTGGAGAACATGTCGTGCCAATAACCTTCGACCTACCGTATAATTTACGAACTTCATTTGAAAGTCCAATGGGCTCAGTTCGTTACTGGATTCAACCAAATACTACATATCATTCTGTTGCAACTGCAGATGCTTTTTATTTTGATGTAAATGGCCTTAACTGTTTCATCCAAAGAGGAATACCTCGAGAAAAAACTTATGCAGAAAGCGTTAGAGGAATGTTTTTCTCTAAAAGTCCAGTGGAAATTATTTGTTCGGTCGAGTGGGAAGGTTGTGAGATTGGGGAGTCTGTTCCAGTTACTGTCAAGGTAAGTTATTGTATTGCTATCAGGAAATGGGACTGCTAGTAGATCAGAAGCCTTGGAACACACTCAGAAACTGTGACATTAGGATACACACTACAACTAAAAATGAAATTTCGGTATTGTCGTAATCATTGATCGGGTTGGTGCATTTCCAAAAGGTACTTTCAATTGGTATCAACAACAATGATATCAAAGTTTTGTTCCGCGTAGCATTCCTCTTTCTCTCTCGTCAAAATTACAGTAGACAACCTATGTTGGATAGTAGAAAAGATTAGAAAAGAATGGAATCTGTGCATTTATGCAGATTATAATCAAATTTTTGGCACACGAAGAGCATCAGCATTATGATGTTTTCATGATATTTTCAAAAGTAATCAGTCAATATCTATGTTCATCATAATCCATAAATGACACCATATTATCTTTGGCACTATAGTCTCTATTCTGTGTCTTCGCTAGGAACTTCTTGCCCTAGGAACAAAGGTTGAATTGCCAACTTGACTTTGGCAGCTTCAACTTGACTTTGGCACCGAGCTTCTCATACCAATGCAAGTTCTAGTAAATAAATCTGCTTTCCTCTTTCGGAAAGGGATATAGCCAATGTGGGGAATTTGTTACACATTGCGTTATAAGCAATCAATGACAATGCATGTAGGTACTACACTGATCAAGTATCATGCTTGATGAAAAAACGTCGATGTAATTATATTGTACAAATAAATTTTAAATGTATATTTTCCAGGTTCATTCATCTCATAAAAAGATCAAGTATGTGAACATAGATTTATGTCGGGAAGTGAGCAATTTCTTAGGAGACCCGAGGATAATGGTCGTATCATCAGCCAAAGTGAAACTGAACTCTGTCTTTAAGACATTGAAATCTTGGAAAGGAAATTTTGTCATTCCTGATGATCTGCGACCTGAAGCGTTTCAAATAAAAGGGTTTTTTAGCGTCGCCTATCACCTTAAGGTGAGTATTACAGCGTTTTACTTTGTCTTTGTTTATGCATGATGGCCGAACTCTGTTCAACAATGTACTGTTCCAAAGATACCTATTTTGTTTGAGATCTGAACGCGTTTAGGAATGCGTCACGCGAAGCCTTACAAATGGATAAAAATTAAATACTGCGTTTAAATACACGACACAACACGGATTATGGTAAAGTGGGTAATGTGGTTGGGATAATGTTATTAAATTAAATTAATACATATCTCAATACGCATCTGTCAAGCGTACTTTGAGCATGATGAATTATAAAGTGCGAAGAATATGGTCGGTGTCAGAATCGTTTAGAACACGTATGCACCTCTCTATCCCCAAGACCCTGCCCCTCGTCTCCGTCCTCATCACCATGTTCTCTACTATATACTATCCACACAAAACTACCCTGTCAAATTTTCATTGTCCAACTTACCTTCTGTGAGACTGTGCCTGTGGCTATACTCGCTCGAATTCGGCAAAGTTGTGACCGCAGAATTAATGGCGGGAATTTGACTTCATAAACAAAAAACCTGTAATACAATTAACAACTTGCTGCTAATCTCAACAATCCGTTTTAAACTTCGAGTTCTGTGAACATTAATGACGGTATAGTCGTGTATCCTTACTTCCCGTCAAACGTTTTAAAGGCATCTGCGGTGCAGGCTAGAAAGCCAATACACGAAAAGTTGTACTTGTATTTTGAAACCCTCAGTCCGGTATTTCCTGCCGTACTAAAGCCTCAACCGTTCTGCGAGACACAAAATGTGAACAGAAGTGAAAGTTTTGGCCGAAAAATCAAGAGTATTATATAAACACAAATCAGTATGGAAATTTGAAATTGTATTTTAAAAGTATTATGTTGACTTTATCTTTTACTTTTGTATAGTTTACAGCACTGACAACATTCAGTAACAACTTCAGTGTGTCAATTCCTATCAAAATTGGAAACAAGTTACCATCAATGGAGAATTTGGCGATAGATAAAAGTAAATGGAAAGAACTTGAAGAATTTTACGAACAGACTGGTTTGAAGGGATACACCAGTATAATGAGTAAGTCAAGCTCAAGACAAGTAGTTAACTGTAATCTTAACTGTATTTTTCGGGGTGTTTCGAAAACGAAGACCCACAAAAACGTAATTTCGTAATTACGAAAACAAAGACCCCCTGGCAAAGTCCCGTCTTCGTTTTCGTACAACGAAATCAAAGACCATAAAAATTTTATTTTTTACATTGTTTTCGGGATAAAAATAAGCGCGAAAATTTTCCGATAATAAAAGACGCATGCATGGTATGCTTTCATGAATGAAGATATTTCGTCTCCGCAATTTGGTATGAGTAAACTGAAGAGCCTTATCGCTAGGCCCCATGCAAGGCCAAGTTCATAGTAGTTCTTAATTGCCAGGAATGTCCAATTATAGGCAATAAAAATTAAGATGTACACGTCCAGCTTTAAACTGATCAAGCTTGATCAAGTAACATATAAGACTAGCAGTAGTAAGAAATAATTTGAAATCTATTGAAATCTCTATGGCTGCGGGGACTGATATGATTCCCAGGGCAGGGAAATTTTTCAATTTGCTTTTTCATTTTTCTTATTGAAAATGTGTTATAGTGTCAAACTGAATTTTCAGTTTCTTCATGAAACATTTCGAGAAACAATTCATCTCATATTGGAATGACAGGTCCACGGCCATCTCGCACGGGATGATGGTGACTCGATCATTTTCCATGTTGTGCTTAACTGTCATGAAAAAGTCCATAAGGGGCGGACCATTAGAAATCCCGCGAGGGGGAGTATAAAATTTTTGCGGCACGAACTTTTTTCAGTCTCATGTCTCTGCAGGATTTTTTTTGTGCATTTAACCTCTGCAAGAATTTTTTTTCAAGACTATTTGCATTTTGCTTGCACGGTTTTTTTTTCTCTGACGTAATGGCTGCGCGAATTTTTTTCCTGGCATTTTTCTTTGCACAAATTTTTTTGGGGGAATTTTCACCCCCACCCCCCCTCCCGGGATTTCTAATGGTCCGCCCCTAAATGATGAATATTTCTGCATGTAAGCTCTAGTCAATACCGGGCGCTGCATCTCTGATAATGGACATAATGCAATGCAATGCAAACAAACATATTTTATTCATTTTTGGCAGGTCTTGATGAACTGTTTGCGCCTTCGTTAGAAGATATTTCCAATGGTATGATGAAACCGAAAACTGAAACTCAAGTATGAAATCACTTCTTCACTGCTGGTGGTGAAGAGTTACAGAAGACTGGCAAGCAACACGAGTGATTGCGAAGACCATTGCACCTGAAAATGTGTGGAACATCTCGTGTGTGCTGTACAGCAGTTTACAGCTGTACATTATGTGAAAGGTTTATACTACACGCGTAAAAATCATCATGTTGATGCAAGTTGTTCAAAACAGGAGCGAACAATGTTGTGCTGCACCCCGTGAACAATATTGTTAACAAGTTGTTGAACCATCAATATTGTTGCAACTTGTTGACAATCATGTTAACAACTTGCAACAGTACTGATGGTTGAACAACTTGTTAACAATATTGTTCACGGGGTGCAGCACAACATTGTTCGCTACTGTTTGAACAACGCCGAACAACCTGATCAATTTTTACCCGTGTATTATAGAAATACACCCTTCCGGAAAGTACGTCACTTTGGCTATAGAGCCTCGTTTTCGTGTGTCTGACATCAGTTCAAACCCACGTCTTAATAACGAAAACGAAGTGACATACTTTCAACTCTAAGCTAAGATGACATACTTTCCGGAAGCGTGTATTATCAGAATGCCAGTACTCAGAGAAAGCTAACAAGAACTATGTTCATAGAAATATAAAATAGCTTAGTATCAGACATGCTGATAACTAATAACTAAATGATAGCATAGTAGACAATAGATCATAATGATCAAACTTTAAATTTTAAACAAGGAAACCACCTTGGTGGTTTTAGTATGTAATATTTTAGCAGAAGTAACTATCAACTACAGTATTTAGTGTTTTAATGTTCCTTGTTTTACCATGTAAATATAATACAATTCAATATAGTTTAAGTGAAATAAAGCAGTTTTAACAATGAACCTTTAAAATTTTATCCTAACGGGTCCTGGTATCTAGATATATTTTGTACACTAAATAAATTCTAAATGCACTACATCTTTATTGCCTTAAAAAATCATTAATAATTCACGAAGAGACAAACAAAATCGCTGCCGTGTCGGTGGTTTTATACGTGACAAAAATTCATGTTAATTTACATAAACTTTAGCTTTGATTTTCTCGGCTTAGACAATGCTTATTTTATTCGTAAGATGGGTCGTGCTTTGAGATGGACTTGTAGTCGTGCTTTATCAGATATAAAACACTCGTGCCGCAGCTCGTGTTTATATCTGATAAAGCACTCCTACACGCGTGTTTTAAATAATACTTAAAGCTAAGCCATTATGCATTAACGTTGTCCTCTATACAGATACCCATGTGTGATGTGTCTGGCATGATTGCACTAGCACATTATTATTATTATTATTATTATTATTACGCTTTCCTTCAAACTTTTAGCTCTTGGCCGCAATGAAGAATTTCGACACAAATAAATTATGCAAAGTAACTATAAATACTGACAAACACTTTTAGGATCTTGGTTTTAGAAGAAGCTTCACGATTTCCGAGCTTATAGCGATAAAGTAAACTATGTTTTCGAGGGGGCCAAATTTCCGAAGGGGGGCATATTTCCTAGGAAATATGGCCCCAGGGGGCGAAATTTCCTAGGAAATTTGGCCCGGGGGAGCCAATTTTTTTTTTTTTGGGGGGGGGGGGATTCCTTTTGGGGGGGGGGGG